TTAAATTATAGATGAAATATAAGAATAATTCTGAAATTAGTCTAAAATTTGAGATGAAGATGTTTGTTATAAATAAACTTTTAACATAAGAGTAATCTGGAATTTCGTCCTATTTTAGGGTATCTATGTAGGACATAAATTTCAAGAACTCTTAAGGAAATTTATCGTAGAATGCTATTTTGTTAAATAGGGAAGTCTTCATCTCTTCAATAGATTTAATTTCTGAATTTGTAAACTCTGTAGAGATTAGTTAAGACCATGGCAATTTATCTAATTTAATATTCATAAATACAATTTCTCAAATAGACAAGCACATATAATAAACTTTCTAAATCATCTTTAAAACTTAAATACTCACCTTTATGAGATGCTCTACTTGCAAAGTTTAGAGAACCAATAAATAAGTTTTTTTAGTTTTTTAAATTTTCTAGAGATTGAGATAATCCAAAATCTATTATTTAAATAAATCCAGGCTTTAGTAGTTGATCTATTGAAGTATTTTGTATCGTTTATAATAACATTATATTTTCTGGTTTAATATCCAGATGTAAAATTGGTTTATGATGAATTTTTTCTAAAGTCTCAATAATATTTAATCCAATAGCTAAAATTTATGATAAAGACAATTCTTAACATATTAAAACATCATGTAAATTACAATTTAACAGAGGCATTATAAGAAATGATCTAAATAATTTCATATTATTATACTTATTATCAGGTGTCATTCCGTAGTTGATTATTTTTGGAATTCCTTCTATTTCATCTAATTCTTTAAGTACTTTAAATTCATTTTCAATTTGTCCTGATCTAGGACATTTTTCCATTTTTATTGCATATAACTATGAAGTTAGATTATGCTAAGCTTTAAACACTTAATGTGCTGAACCTTGACCAATCTTTGACAGCACTTCATATTTAGAAGTTTGAAGATACATATTAAAACAATTTTAAATTATTGAATTTTTGAAGAACAAATTTCTTATTTAAATTAAAATAAAATGAAAGTGATTTATAAATATTATTGGATGCTTAAATTGTTATTTTCAAGTTTTATCATTTGAGAATAGATGATTCTATATAATATATTAATTTTTCTTAATAAAATCCTTAAAATCTAACAACAAAAAAGTAGAAAATTTTATCCTTTAATTTATATATATATTTTTGTTTACATTTATACAATTTAATTTAGAAATCATTATTAAGATAAGGAAACTTGACTTTATTTTGATATAAATAAATAGATTATTTAAGAATATATAGCAATATTTTAATAAAAGATAATATAGCAAGTTTCTTTATTAATGAATTAAATTTAATACTTAGCATTCAAATATTAATAGTTTGCTAAAATAAAAGTTTGAATTTTATTTAAAAATCATGAAAATATTTTATTGATTTATTGATATTGAACTACGAAAAAATATTTAATTAATTTAGTTTATTGTTATTATTTACATCCTCATGTTTTAATATTTTATTTAACTAAGTGCTCTCTTTCAGTTATATAGAGTATTTGTTATTAAAAGCTTAATCTATTAATGGGATGAAAAGTTTTTATTAAATACTAAATAATTATGATCAAAGTTAACAATAATTCTCTATTCAAAGTAAATTCTACTTTAATGAATAATTTATGATATTACTCCATTTCACTTTTTAAATTAGCTAAAAGTTTCTTATTAATAATAAATTATTCAAGGATAAATGATATTTAAATGTAAATTAAGTGCTTGATTTAGTATGAAAAAGTTTTTAGATAATTCTTAATTATTAAATAAATTTCTAAATTGTTCATAAATATAAGTTCAGAATATCAAAAATTTATTATACTTCAATATACTAAAAAGCATAAATAAAATATAATTAAAGAAAATAATTCATGATTTAAAAAGATATTTGGATTTATTAGAAACCTTCAAAATTTTTTATTATTAATAATAAATTCACTCTAGAAAAATTATTTTTCATTTTGGATCACTTAGTAGAAATAAAATATAAAGATTTATATAAACTAATAAATCACACAAAGTTCTTATTTTTTATAATTGGATTTAAAGTATACAATAATTTATGAAATACTGATTTTTACCTGTCTTAAAGTTATTTTAGTAATAAAAATATACTGTAATTTTATTATTATAATGAAATTAATATTAAAATTTTATTTTATTAATAATTCTCTATCTTTATTTTTAATAGAATAAATAGGCTTTATATTTGTATTCTTTCCTGAAAATAGAATAATAAAATGAATATGAAACCTAGAGTAGTTATGGTTGGAACAATAGGATGCAGTAAAACAACTTTACTCAACAAAATTTGTAATAAAAATCTAAAAACATATTTGGTAGGATCTCAAGATACTAAAGAACCAAATATAAGTCACAGCGCTTACGGGAAAGGATTTCTATTATTAGATGTACCTGGATTTTGTGATTATTAAACAAGACTAAATGATTGCATTGGAATACTAAAATCTATAACAGATGAACCTATAAACTAACTGCTTTTTGTAGTTAAATTTTATCGAGATACTGAAGAGAAATTGAAAAGGATTATAAATATTTTCAAAAGAATTAAGGATGTTATTACAGTAGTTATTACCTTTTTTAATCATTCTGATGGTTAAAATTAAAATAGAGAGAAAATTGTTAAATTTCTAAAGTAAATAGAAGTAGAATCAGTGATATTTAATTGTATGAATACATCAGGAGAAGAGCTTTGCAATTAGATCGATAGAATAAATTCTAATTCAAAATAAGGAAGGATATTTGAGTTAAAATAAACAGAACTCTTTCGTAATTTTAATTTATTTAGTTAAAATGATGACATATTTGAAAATTTGATAGATGCACAATATTAACTTATATATTAGTTTTTAGGCATCTGGCGAATAGTTCGAAAAGTAATTGAAGATTTTCCAATTAATGATTCAAAAAGTTCAGAGTTTGCACATTAAATAATATTACATATCAAAGATCAAGCTGATAATTGTTTTTTTTAATTTAAAGAAAAGAGGATCGATTTATTTGAAGAAATATATGCACGTTTTCATTATAAAGAATTAGAAATTTTAGCAGACAATCGAATTAAGAAAAATTTATCTCAATAAATTTAGCTTACCATTTATTATGCATTATAGAAAATGAAATAAGGTGGGTTTTTAGATGTTAATTTTATTAAACAATGTCCTTATTGTGGAGAAATTTGGATATAGCCAAATAAATTTGAGGGTTTAATATTTTGTGGATCATCAAAGTCTAAAGATATTTATCATCAATAAAAATTTTAAATAAAAATGTTAGGCTGCGGTAAGTAATTGTAATGGAATGATTTGAAATCTTTACCATTATCCTTTTTGAATAATGAATCTAATATAGAATCTTTTAATTATTTATCTGCTGTTTTATCATAAGAGGAGGAAGATAAATATATTAAAGCAGCTAAGAAAATTGAAACTTTAATAAAAGAGAAAAAAATTATAATAATTTCATTTTGCTATCATTTTAATATATTATAATTGAAATATTTATTATTATTAATAATAATACAAGTTGATTTTAGGTTATTTAAACCAGACACCAGAATTCTTATAATTGATAAATTATTTTTGCCATTCCTTACTTTCTTCAGATCTTTTGAATTCAAAATTGCTAATAAATCATTAGAATAAATATAAATCTTATCTTTTCCAAGACTACAAATATTATTGATAAAACTTCAACTGTTTATGAAATTTCTAATCTAAGTATTTTTATATTAATGAAATTCATACAAATATATTTAATTTCACAAAACAGGTGATAGTTTTCAGAGTATTTCATTATTTGATAATTTTATATAAAAGCAAATCAAATATAATAAAGGATTTAATAAATATATCTTTATACTTTTTAGATATCTTTCGTTTAATAATCCCAATCAAGAATAGTTATAACCAATTA